GGCTGAGATTTTCTCATCTCAAACCTCTTACAAAAAGCCCTGAAATTAATAAGGAAGCTTTCAAATAAACTTTGGATCAGGCTCATTCCAAACCTTCCGTTATCTCACTTGCAATTTATCACTGAAATGTCTGTAATTCTCCCCAGGGAGACTTTCTAGTATTTAAACAGCTACTACCATGCGTAATTTCTTCCTGTTTTCAGAAGAGAGAAGAGGAACTGAGAACATTATGCTAAATGCCTCAAGAGTCCAAAGAATAGTGATTTTCATGGAATCTTCTGAATTTATTATCATTGCTAGGGATATGGCTAGAAACAACCCCAAGGTTAAAAAGTTCAAATGGTTGGGGTTTTTTTTTAATGACTCTTGCTTGAAATGATCCTGACTTTGGTTAATTCCAGCTCCATTTACACCTTAAAGGAGCTCTGTCAGACAGATATTAAAAATATTTAAGTCTCATTTATTTATAGGAATCCTTCATACTTGGGTGACTACTGACTTGACAAATCCATTTGACCTAAAATATGACTAAGAAGTGTATTTGTGGTATGTTTATTAGTTGAGAAGTCTTTCCTGGGCTAATCTGTTTTTCCGGCTGTACTCTTCCAGCATGCTGATGGAAAAATAAACCCAAAGAAGGAAGCGGATTCTTAACAGTGGTCATGAACACTGCTTTATTCTCAGGGCATTTTTGCATGGCATTAGCAACTAAAAGGCACCGCTTCAGCAGGGCACTTAAGCTATTTGCTGAATCAGGGCCTGAAAGCTGAAGAGAAGGAGGAGGAGTGACATGGGTGTTATTCCCACAGATTTTCTCAGAGCATTAAATGACTATTAGCTGATGTGACAAGATGTTACTGTATTAAAGTTGCAGTGGAGGAAATTCGTGCTCTTTTAATGGGGTAGCCCCAAACTGACAAGGCAATTGCAGTCATCAAGTCCCTGCCTGGAGAAGGGAGGGTAAAGGTAAGATACAAAACCTTAGTCCTGGAATGGAGTAAACTCCCTCAGCTGCACCTGGTACCTGGTAAATGTTTGTCCCAGCTCAGCATAGAAATGTTGGGGCAAAATACCCCCCCTCCAAGAGACTCCTAAAACTAATGAAATTCACAGGGGAGCATCGACTCGGACTTCTTCGAGAGGATTTTGGGTCAGATGGCCAGCTTCTGCTTGGCTGCTATGAACCTCCCAGATGTGTGAGTAAAACAAGAGTCCCTGGGGTCAGGCTATCCACCAAACCTCATGCAAGCAGAAAAGGTACCTCAGCCCACGCTGCCACACAGCCCTGGCTCAGCTATGGAAGTAGCACTTTCCACACAGTGTTTTATATGGAATACTCATGTCAATAATTCACCACACATCCTTCAGTAGCACATCTGTCATATCGGTGACTTACAAATCCTTCACGAGCTCAAATGATCTTTACGTGCATCATTCCCTGAATTACTACAAGCCATTTGACTGTAAATGTGTTCTTTGGCACCAATCAGCAGATCATTGACCTTCGTAGTATGGCTACACCATCAATATACATCTGAAGTAGAGACATGAGCAACTGGGTATTGAACAATTAATTTCACATATAGAAATGCATATGTCAGTGGCTGTGCAAAACTGGAGATCTCAAAGGCCCTTGGCGGGTTTGCAGGGAGAAGTGCCCGAGCACGGAAGCATCTCTTGATGAACAAACAGATCCCAACTCCTTTGCGCAGAAAAAGAAAACAAGACACAAAGATACAGCCACACATGGCAGCATCGGGAAGTGATGAAAAACAATGTTTGAGGTTTAGTGATCCGGGCATGTTGCTCCTGCTGGGAGCTGCTCACACGACGGCAGAGATAACCAGCAGGCACCCCCTGGCACGGATGATACTGCCATACAGTGCTGGCCTTGCTTTCAGTGGGTCCCCAGTGGCTGGTGAGGCAGGTGTAACCTCAGACTGCCGCTTGCCAGGGGCTCAGAGGCTTGGTGAGGGGAGGATCATTCCACATTTCTTGTCTTTCTCCTTTTCCTAAGGATCTGGGGTTGCCCACAGTCACGCGGGACTTGAGGCCAGCCAGACCTTTGGTCTGTCGCACTGTGACTATTCTTAAGTTTCTCCACCAGGGATGTGTGCGTGTGCCTCTGTGTGTTTACAGGCATTAGAGAATCCGGGCCACGAGGAAAATCAACTCTGCCCTCATTGCCAAGCCAAAGCCTCTGCAAACCAGCTAGTCCTCACCTCTTTCTCCCTCTCTAAAAAAAAGACCTTCATTCACAATTGCAAAATTAGAGCGTAATAAAATAAAGGGTCCTTTCATTTGCTTTTCAAGCTTTTGGAAAAAAGAAATTTTCCAGCTTGTCTCCACAGCAGTGAGCACTTAAAAACATGATCCTTCAGAGAACGAAGGGCCATCATTTCCTATTATCATCTGCCTGTCGGAGCCGTGGCTGAAAGCCAAACGGCAAATTCACAAAACTCATTGAGAGGCTGTGAGGATTGCAACACCGCACCAGGCACCACAGTTTGGGATTGGGCACGTGGAGGAAGAGCGAAGGGGAGGACAGAAAGGGGACTGATAAAGGTTTGGATCCCTCGGGGGAACCCTCTGTGGGGATGGGGAGAAGGCAGGCGCCTCTCTGAAAGGACAGATGATGAGGTGGGTTTCATTGGTGTCACACAGAGAGGAATTTTCTATTTCTTATTCACTGAAGAACAAGAAAAAGTGAAGAGAGCTCTGTCTTCTGCTGCCAGACATAATCACTAGCTCCAAAATCTGAAAACAAACTCACACAGTATCTTGACATGTGATCAAGGCTCTACATATCCACCACTGTGGAAAGAAAATGTACACAGAAAATTCACTCCTTGTCACAGAAGATCTGTGTGTTAGTACCCAAGTGACTGTCGAAGTGTCTTTAATGACAGTTCACCTGCTCGTAATTTCACAACAAGCAGACAGCAGTGCTTCCTTTCCAGTTCAATCCAGTTTATCTCATCTCCTCAATAGGGTGCATTTGCCATCCCGATGCACTTTGAACCAGTTTTATGATTTTATCTTCATGGCAACAAGCCTCTGCTTTAAGAAAGAGCACTTATTAACTAGAGACAGTGTCATTTTCAAAGTGATTTATTTTATGAGGGTTTTGAAAGAAATGATCAGTCAGTGATTGGCCATAGGGGAAAAGCATATAAAAGCTTACCACATGCATTGAACATACCATCTGGTATCCTTTAAAATCTAGCTTCAGGGTGGCTCAGCTAATTCTTCAGAGCGCATGATGTTCACAGTGCACAGTGAGGCATGAATATAAAAGCTGAGTGACATCGCCCAGCAAGAATCAACGCCGTAACTGAAGCTTAATATCTTATATCTCACTGTTCTAGTCCATCATCAGACACTGGCGTTTCCCTAACTATAACTGATGTTACGTTCCATAATTTAAAACTTGTTTAAAAAACAAAAAAACAAAAACCAAACAACCAGGAATCCTTTTATTTTCTGGTTGGATAGAAAAGGGATGCCTCCACTGTGTCTCGGTTCTTTCTTCTGACTAGCTGATGTAAAAGCAGGAGGTACAAAAAACGATACTGTTATTGTTCCTCTGAATTTAATTGTTTGTGGCATGCACAGCCCTCTGGGTGCGATAAAGTTTCCTGACTCTGATGCTTGTCACATTTCAAGATCTGTGTTATTGTCCCTGAAAAGTACTAAATCAGACAATTTAAGTATTGTCTGTTGGTCTTCTACCCCAAAATAAAGGCTAAGGCAGGCAATTATACCCAATTTTGCCACTGAAAGACAAGAGAGATGTTGACAAACTGGAGGGAGTTCAGAGGGGGCCACTGATATGGTTGGGGGGGCCAGAGCATACAACATATGAAGAGAGGTTTTGGAAATTATATTTTTGAGCCAGGAGAGAGAGTGGAGGAGGGATCTCACTGCAGTCTCCAGCCACCCAGAGCGGGGTTACAGAGCAGGCAGATTCTTCGCAGAGGTACACAGCAAAAGGACAAGCAGCAACAGTCACAAGTCACAACCAGGGAAAGTCTGACAAGACGTGGGGAGTAATGGTAGTATTCACAGAAGCAGTATTTAGGAATGACACTGAACCTCCAGAGAGGTTGTGCAATCTCTGTCTTTGGAGACACTCAAAACTCAAGCAGACAAGGTTTGAAGCTAGCCCTGTTTTGAGCCCGAGGTTAGACCAGAGGTTCTTTCCAACACAAATATTTATGTGATGCTGAAGAAAAAACAAAGCGATCCATACTTGTAACATAGAGGCAACAGCACAGGCCCTGCAACCTGGACTTGTAATAACGAACTGCCCTCACGTTATTATACCAAGCAGCCTTGCTGAATAATTTAAATAATACTACAGCAGGTCCTACAATGGAGGCATGGAAAATAATGCCTCTTACAAACTGGGAGCCAAATTTCTTTCACACAGCTTCCATTGTGTTCCTTAGGAGCTGCACACAGGCTCTAATTTTGCAATTTCAACCCAACTTTTTTTCCATTACATAATTTAGAGTGCAAAGTAACGTCTCCCAGTAGGATGTGGCCAGGGCTCGGTGGTAGTCTTCCGTCCCCCCCCTCCCAAGTCCTATTCCTGGCACTGAGATAGATCAACTGCACACCAATTATGTAAAGTCACGCCTGCAGCTCTTTTTACAACGTTCAGCATATACATACACACAGATAGCTACATTTGCCTGAGGGAGGGGAAAGCTGTGTGTACAAATAAATATTTGTACAGAAATTCATCATCCTTTCTGCTTCTGCAGAAAGGGGGGTGAATTTATTACATATCGGGCAATCCTAACGTCAAGGTTGGCGAGGTTGGCTGGTAGTTATTGATTAAAAGTGTTATCGCAATCCCAGTTTGATATTTGAAGTGAGACATCATCACCGCCGCATGTTTGCTCGTTAATTAAGGTTTCTAACTACCAGATTGCTCCGGACGAAACACGGGGTGGTACCGGGGGTGCTGGCCGTGAGGGAGTGGCAGGAGGCAGCCTCCCCCGCCAGGAGACCCGCCGCTTGGGGAGGGCGGACCGCGTCGGGGTGCCGGTGGCGGCCTAATGGCTGCTGCCGCTTTCGGTTAGGTGGGGCTGGCTTTGCTGATGTCTGCACGGCAGAGGAGGCTCCTTTGTAGCGGATCCTGGTTTGCTCTGTGTAACGGTGGTGGCTGCTGGGTAAAATATATTGTCGGCTTGTATTTATGCTTTGTGGTTGTAATCTATAGATGACTATGTAAATGAATGTGGATCGCATATAAGTGGCTGTTCAACTCATAGGTTCTTCGCTAGAGAAGGCCTCAGGCAATTTCTCACGGTTTGTGAGAAGTTGATTCATTTTATCAAATGTTAATATACTAAAGGTACCTGACTTGCTGGGAAAGTGAACCCTGTGTGGTATCAAAGGGCACATTGCCTGGAGAGAGAACTACCGATCTGACAGGTTTCATCTCTGAGAGACAACTTGTTTCTAGGTGAATTCTATGGAAACCAGCGTTGATCTGATGCCATTCAACCTTATTGTCAGTGGATGTAAGAACAAAGGTAGCTATTTTTTTTAAACAAAACCGAAACACCCTGAAACTACCCTTCCCAGGACCTGTGGAGGCCAGTGGGTGATGCAGAAATTTGTGGTAAATATCAAGTCAGTCCTAGAAAGCACTTTTGAGATTCTTGAAGCTTGAGTTCATGTAAGTACGTTTTAACAGTGCTAGATCAAGATGTGAAAGATGCCAGCTGTATCCATGCAGTGAGATTGTATCCTGAGAAGCAGTTATCCTGGAGAAGAGCCTCTGTTAAGGAGCAGAAAGGTACACGGTTTTGTTTGCAACTGTTGAGGCTAGAACAGGAATACAGTGCAGAGTTTTGATATTTTACTGGGGGGAGAGGGGGCATGACATACCAAAAACCCTGCAGTGAAGACATCTAATAATCACACTCAGGGTCAATATGTTTATTTCATCCAAAACAAATAAAAATAACTAAAATGATAATTCCAGAGTATATAGCTTCAGTAAGAGGAGAACATAAGTATTTTTTAAATGGCTTTTACAGCAGTTCAGGAAGACTTCTGAGGAACTGATAATCGGAAGCTAAAGCTATGAATAAGAAATAACGCACCCTTTTAGAACTGAGTATAACAGGATGAGAGTGGGCTCCATAGTTCTCAAAGTTTAGAGGCAGCTGTGGAAGATTTGTTTTAATTATTCTGAGCTGCTGCACTAATGTATCTTTTGCAAGAGTCACAGGGTGGGATGGTATGGACAGGAGTAATCTTTGGCAGTGGAGACCTGCTGTTCTCCACCGGTTTTGTAGCGCAGCTGGCACACAAACAAGTCACATCAGAAGTGATAAACGTCTGCTGGGTTTGGAGCCATCTGCTTGTGATGTGGTGACCATCTGAAGTGATTAGATCTGGTCTTAGTGGGGAAGCAGCTGTGAAACTCAGTGGCCTACCATGGGTGGAAAACTGGAACAGATTACAATTCCTTATGGCTTTATATAAGAGGTCTTAGAAACTGCTAAGACCTCTGTTTGGAAGAATTATGTTTTCTGGTAGTTGATAATTTGTAGCAAATGCAAGGCTTTGGTCGTTGATCTTAATTAAATCTGTCCTGAAAAGCTGAAAACTAAAAATCCAACTTCAGTCCTCTTCGTCAGTCAAAACAGACATGGGATGGGGCAGTAAGATCACCAATCTTACGTAGCTACTTCTGATGCAACTGTTGGGTTTTTTTCTTCTGTCTGTTTACCAACTGTCTTTATTCTTCCAAGGAATAAACATGCAGGTCAGACTAAGTGATTGCACAGTATGTCAGCACATCAGTGCAGCTGCCGGGAGGGCATTAAAGATAGGGAAAGGCCAGCTGTAAAATGTTGATGCTTAATGCCTGAAGGTAGAAGCTGCAGAAATTTGCATATTTTCAAAAACATTTAGAAGCTGTCAAAGATTTGGTCTCTTTTCCATTTTATCTGTATAGCTATGTTGGGTAGTTTTACTTATGTGGGCAGAAATCTTGTTGTAGATGAGGTTATGCTGGTAGGTATTAGTCATGTTACAGTGACAAAAGAACCTCTGCTGATCGAGCCATGCCACCCAGTGGAAATGCAGCAGAGCCTGTTGCATCTAGAAAGCATTTTTCTGTTTGAGAGATGATCTTGGAGACAGGAACTAAATCTGGCACATCAAGTGTTCGAAAAATGTCATGCAACTCAAAAAAAAATTTAAAAATGAAGGCAGTTGATGCTTAGTTTTGGATAGCTTTAGTAAAAGAAAGATAAAGTGTTTTGGACAGCTCTTTCTAATGAGGGTCCCTAAGGGCTGATGATGGAGAGAGAAAACACAGGAATGGCAAGAGCATGGGGAAAAAATGCTACCACATCCATCAGTTTCAGTTGGGCTGGATGTGACCAGAGAGGGTTTAGAGCTTAAAAAACACTGGGGAGGTGTTTTATTGTGGAAGCTATTTAGTAGGACGGATTTAGTATGCCACATGTAGCACTATGCTTCCAGAAACGGGAGGGTTTTCACAGACCTCTCTGAAAATCACCAGTTGGGCTTGAGTGCTATTGGTAGAGCTGGCCTGCCAGTGCCGTGTCGGAGTGGGGCTTCCCAACATTTCTGCAGCATGGAGCCCGCCAGGTTTGCTTGTCTCTCTTACCTGCTGTTAATTTTCACTGCATGGGTGTCCAGGAGGGCTTGGATTGCAGCCCAAGATTTTGGGGTGCATGGTTTCTGGGTAGGTGAAGTGGCAATCCTTCATGAGCCTTCTCTTCAGCATAAAATGAGAGAGATTCTGCTCCTAGATGCATTTTTTTTCAGACACCAGTCACCTCTTGCTTTCCTTCACTTTAGTTTGGCCCTTCTGGCCATGTGTGTTCTCAGAGGTGGCTGAGAAGTGGTGCCCTGACCAGCCGATCAGGAGCTGGCAGGCTCAGTGCTTCTGGAAAGCAGGGGATGTGTCCAGGGGCGGTGGCCTTCAGAAAACAAAGGAAATCTTATCTTGCAGCACAGTGGATTCGAGCAAGACTTCAGTTTGAATGCTGCCAGTTCTTGTAGTCTTTCTACTCCCTGCCAAATTACTTAAACTCTCAAAACTCTCAAATCCTCCTTCTTCCACTCACAATTTCTCTCTTCCCCCCCTCTCCCCCGGAAAGAATAATTTGAAGTAGAGTTTAAATGTGGCAGAACGGATGTCTATGACATGAATCAGCTTTTCTCTGCTCACATCAGTGCTTGTGCAGTGCTCTTCTAGAAAAGCTTCAAGACAAAATGAGAGTCCATTTGTTAACTCTACTGACTAAAAATCTAGTTGAAGACACCATTCCGTACATTTTTCTAAAACCTTGAGCCCACGCGTGACCAGTGGGGACTTGAAAATGGAGCTACTCAGAGGTCTGACAGTGTCACTGAGGTCAGTTTGTGAGTGTGTGAATGCCTTGGGCAATACTCTTACAAATGTAATTGGCATTTCTCTAAGGTATTGATTGAAATTCTTTGTGCTAGTGTTGAACGACTTGAATGGAATATAGATTCTAGGTTTAAGTATAGATTAGTTCATATGTTGTCTGAACGTGTCTAACGGTAATTTTGGTTTCTTTTTCATTAAATGAAGGTGGCAGTACCCAGATTAAATGTATGTTTAAGAAACGTCCCTGAAGTAGGCCATCCTGTCTGCAAGAGGATCCTTGACATGCTTGGCATTGACTCAGTTATGCTAAATGTTGCCAACAAATGTTGCTCTTGTCTGCTTGCCAAAGTAAAAAAGCCACTAACTCTCATTATAAGCTGTGCTTAACAACACTTTTTTTTTTCATAAGTCATGCAGCAGAATTGTTTCCTTAATTTTCATGGCACAGAAGTATTTGGAAATTACCTGCTGACCAATACTGGGGATATTTGTTGATATTTTGTAAGCAGGCCTGTTTCAACTTCTTATCCAATGCTTTGACTTGAATTTACTACTCTCTGTCACTTTAGTGACAAATCATGGGATTTTCTTCTGAGTTCTCCTTTAGGTCTGTTTCCTCTCTTCCTCCTTTCCCCTGCAGCATATGTTCTGACATCTTCTGTGAGCTTTTTTTCAACCACTTGTAGTTCTGTTTTTCAATTAGTCTTATTCCATCTCTCCATTTGCCTAAAGAAAGGATGATTCTCTTGGCCTGTTTTGGTGTGGCTTTTTGTTAACCTGTTGTTTTGGTGGGTTGGGGGGGGGGAAGTGCTTATGTGAAAAGTTATTTTTGTACTTGTCTCTATATTAAGGATTGATCTCTTATGTTTTGTGGGTTATATTAAATAGCTTCTCTGTACTGGTAAATTGAACTCAGTGCCACTAAAAAGCACATATCAACTTCTAGTTATTATTGAGCACAGTTCACTGTAAAAACTAATGAACTCTTTTAATGTAAGAGGTATATACTGAAGAGAAATGGAGCTTTTTCTGATAGATGTCTCTCGAATAGCTGAGCTGTTAACAGGAGCAGAAACCATTTTCCTGATGTAGTTCAGTTGGTTTCTCATCTTTAAACAAATAGTCATTGATCTGAACACAGTGTACCTCATCGATACAAAGATTCAGATATTTGTACTTACCTGAAGAACTACTGCTGTTACAAGCTAATGTTGGAGCTTTAACAAACCTTTAGATTCATGCAATTAGGCACTGATTTCCACCAGGGTACTAACTTTGTAGATACATATTTCTTAAAAGGTTTATTTAAATTGTTAGGTATTTCTTAAAGAGTTTCTTTAAATTATTAGGTGTAACTTGACAAGTTCACTGTGTTTCCACAGGGGTCTGGGTTGCTTGGTGTGGTCATAAATAACTTGGGAAATGAGATGAGCAGTGTCTACATGTTGATATGAAGCCATTCAGGAAAGTAAGGATTAAGTAATAAAATGGCAGATATAATTCAATGTCAATAAATCTCATGTAATTCAGAGTAGATAAATGTAGAGTGGTGCATATAATTTCATATATAAAATGATGGGCTGACCCTTAACACTGAGAAATGGAATATTGCCACAGAAGTGTCAGTTCCATAGTGATCAAAAAGCAGATGAAACATTAAGAAGTATTAGGAAGGAAATAGAAGACAAACCAGAACATAATTATGAAACTGTATAAATCAATGGTTATCCCACATCTTGAATTCTGTGTGGTTTGTTCTTGTCATTCATCTCAAAAGATACAAAAAAAAATTGGAAAAGCCTCAAAGAGAGGCAGGGAGAACAATCACAGGTATGGAATAGCTGCTGCACAAGGGTCGATGGAATAAGCTAGAGCTCAGCCTGGAGAGAGAACAGTTTAAAGAAAATGATAAAAATCTGTAGAATAATGATCAGCATGGGCAGGGTGGGTAAGAATAGACTTATCGATTTCCTTGGCTGCAAGAATGAAGGAGCAGCAATTGGAATTAGTAAAATTCAGGTTTAGAACAAAAAAGAAGGTACCTTTTTTGTGTAACAAATAGCAGTGCTGTGGAGTTCCTTGCCAGTGGATGTTGTAGGTACAAGTGGGGAGAGTAGATGTGGAAAATAAATTACTTGAGGGTGGTTATTGCTTCAAAAATTGCCTTCAACTTAGGAATTCTCTGAGCTTGAAATCCTTGAAGTATTGGGGTGGGCATTGTCTCTGTTCTTGTTCTTCCCTACCGGTCGTTGAAGATAAAACAGGATGCAGAGTTAATTGGTCCCTTGTTCTGATCCAGCACTGTCCTAAGGTTAGGAAATAGTGTAGATAGTAATAAACTTACAATACAGTTTCTGAGAAGACTCTAGTTTATATGCTCATTATTTGTGTTATGCAATTTGTAATCTAAAGGAGTTTATAAACCTATTTGTCATAGGCTGCCTGTACAAACCTCTGTCCCTGAGACCAGTCTCTGTGTTAAAAGTCAGGTCTTCACCATCAACAAGGAAAACCAAGGATCGGTTGTTTTGTGGGGGGTCAGGTTGGCAGTTGTATTTATACTCTGGACTTACATTTTGTGTTTTTCCTCCTATTTTCTCTTGATCTCCTGCACTCTGCCCTAAAACCTTCTGGCTGCACTGGGGTGTCCAGCTATTTCACCTGCTCTTGGTCATGTTTTTAACAGTTCTTCACTGCTAGTCAGTATTTGTTGTCAATTAGTCAAACTGAATGTGCCTTCCGCTGCCTTTTTTGTATGGCTAATAAAGATTGACAAAGCCAGTCAGTGTGCATTGTGCTGAAGCTCTGGAAAGCTCTTAAGTGCAGTAGTTGCCTTCATGAAAAGCATGTGACTCGTGGGTCCCCATTTTCAATGGAAACATTGAGGGGTCAGAAGGTAATGCATTAATGCCACCTTCGCCATGCCCACATTGGAAGGTAAAGCATCAGCAAACTATAGTTCTTTTATTTCTGACAGTAAGATCCATGTGGGGATTTAATCATAATTTGGTTTAGATGCATTAACTCCACTTGCAAGCAGCCTGCCATACCTTTTCTGAGTCCCAGTGTAGAAAAGACCTTGAATACTTTACAGGCATCACTGTCTGGTAGGTTGCCTGCTCGGTATGAATACTTGGAATATTTTTTTAGTGTAATGTGACCCATTTACATTATGTGTCAGTCCTGTCTGAGGTAAGACAGGTAGAGGCTGAAGACTTTCATTTTAATGAGAACTTTATCAAGAGGAGAGTATTTGGGTAGCAGATACCTGTATGGGCTAGAGTCATTAAAGCCATTGCTAAGAGGCGCTGCCAGTTCAACACTGTGGTTTGAATGAGACAAAGGTAGAGTTTGTCTCATGAACTCTTGCTTGAAATACTTTTATTTTCAACAAATTTCACTTTATCTTACCTTACTTTTCAGCAAAATGTCTGGAACTGATGATTTTTCGGTAAGTAACAGTTTTTCTTTCCTGAAGATCAGCCAGTTGTGTTACTTCATTCTAAAAGTTGACATACTTTCCTGAGAAGAAGGGGAGCTGACAGCAGAGAGGCGATTTCCTCTGTGTTGCAGTTGTGGTGTTTTCCTTCTGGGCAGATGTAGCAGCCTGTGGACTAAACATGAAGCTGCGAGGTGCCTTGTGGGTTCTCTTCTGCTGTGACATTAACAAAGGAGTTGTGTTTTAATAGTGTCAGAATAGCCATAATGGAAATCAATGAAAAAATCTTTTCTTTTCAGATTTGCGCTGAAATTGCTTATTGCTATGTGTGGTAGGTCGCCTTTTATCCCGGGTTTTCTAACCGCAGCATGTCAAAATGCCTCTTCTACCTTAATGATAGAAGCTGCACAAAAATGAATGTAATCACCTCTGTGCAGCAACAAAGAGCTCTTCTCCTCCCATTTTGGCAACTGAAACGTATACACGTAGCGGGTGAATGTCTGCAACTCGTGAGTCCTGTAGGCATTTTACATTCTCACTGCTGCTTTATCTTTTAGTTGGCAGATGCTTTACCAGATCAGTCGCCTGCTAAAACCTCCAAAGTGAGCAGCACAAAACCCGGTCAGCAGCCTGGCCAGCCACCGCAGGGTTGGCCAGCAGCTTCGAACCCGTGGAACAACCCAAGCGCTCCCCCCGCGGCGCCAGCCGGACTGCCACCCAATACATCCGCTTCCAGCGTGCCATTCGGACCTCCGCCAACGGGAATGTATCCTTCAATGCCCCCGGGACCGCCTGCTCCATTTCCTCCTCCTCCTACTGGACCCTCTTGCCCTCCTCCTGGTGGTCCATATCCACCCCCAACTGTGCCAGGTCCTGTCCCACCAGGGCAATATCCTCCACCAAATATGCCCTTTCCAGAGCTTCCAAGACCTTATGGTGGTCCAACAGAGCCAGCTGCACCTCCTGCTCCCGTTGGGCCATGGGGATCCATGCCCTCTGGAGCATGGGGACCAACAATGGGAGGGCAGTATCCTGCACCTAGCATGCCATATCCACCCCCAGGGCCATATTCCGCTCCTACCCAGACTCCAGGGGCTGCGCCAACAGTACCATGGGGTACGGTCCCACCTGGAACGTGGGGACCTTCACCGCCAGGTCCATTTCCTCCACCCGCAGGATCATATCCAGCTCCAGGACTCTATCCTACGCCCCCTAATCCTTTTCAAGTGCCATCTGGTCCTGCTGGTGCTCCGTCAATGCCTGGTGGTCCCCATGTGAGTATTCGATTTTGGTCCTGAATTACTCTAAAATGTTAACATTTTTAAGTGTGGAAATTGAGTAGTGTAAGACCTGTTAGTGCAGGTAAGGAATTTCAGCACATCTGTCTCATTTCTGTAGTCAGTGGAACAACACCCAACTTCTTAAAAGCTAAACTAAATCTACTAGGGTGGTAAAATGATATTGAGTCAGAGTGTGTCTAAGCATCACATTACGGAGGTCTTCTGTGACTTGGAAAGCCTCCTCTAAAAGGCAAAAAAGGGGGGAAAGCCTTGTAATAATTTCTGAGAAAGAAGATAACTTGAAGTCTCTCTAATCCAGAGCAACTGCTTCTAGGGCACAGAGGGAGGGAATAACAAATTATAAGGACGAATTTGTTTTAATTAAGAACTTTTGTAACTGTGAATGACCTGCTTTGTGAAAAGCCTGTATTGACTATGAATTATTGTCTCTTGCAGCCTTACCGTTGAATACAGTCTGGGCAACAAAATACTGTAGCTTTCCACCTTCATCCACTACTTAGAGATTTTTACAGTTTTTGTTTCAGTAATGTGTGGGGCTATGAAGAATACTTGCCTCTTGTATACGCATTTGAGGTATGAAGGAGCAGTTTGCAAAAATTTACCTTGCTCATATGCTGGCCTAATTGTTTGGTTTAATAAAATGAATTACAAAGAGCGGAAATAAAACTAACATCTGTGGTTCTTATGTTGGCAAGTATTCCTTGGAAAAATGGGAGTTGCCAAGTAAGGATTATAAAGAATCAGGCCCAAGGACTTAAAAAAAGTTAATTCTTAAATTTCCAAGAATGCTTTAAGTCTTGTTACCAGCCTTGTGCTGGTCACTGAATGGATGGATAGTCATATTTTGTCTATTTTCAGGTTGTTCTAAAATGTCAATAAAAGGTGTTTCAAGATTTTTGTCAAGAAATCTAATTTTTGAACATGCTACAGTAATTCAAACTAAAGAGACAGAGCATGTGAACTTGAAGGTTTTCTCAGCATTTTGTATATACTCAAAACAATTGCTCAGTCTGGGACTACGGAAGAGAAGACACGCATTTGAAATGCTTGGTCTGACTTGTCAGCACACTGTTCGTGTTCACAAACAGGCGTTTATGTGCAAATTAAATAACCTGGATGTGCAGTTAACTTTGAATCAACAAATGTGAGTTTTATGCATGCAAATGAGGACATCATTTTGCCAGTTCTCATTCTGTGGTGGTTCGAAGTTTGGCTTGGTCTATGTAAACAGAAACTGATTCCCACTTAGGTAAGGTACTTCCCTATTTCTAACCTGGGTTCTAGTCATTTAAAATTTGGCTTTGCTGCTGGGTTGTGTAAACTTGGCAGGCTGTTTCAGAGTCCCTGGAAATTGAACTTGAGCTTAAAAGATGAAAAAAAACCCAAAAAACAACTGGACAATTCCCTTCCCGGCAGTTTTTGGCATGGCGTTTAGTTCTATCGGCCACAGAGATCCTTATTGCCACAGTTGAGAACGAGGAGGTCTCGTTGAGGCTCTGCTGAATGTTGTGACAGAGAGTAGTCCTCTGTTCTCAGCTGGGTGTCTGCATACCTCACTGAGTAAGTGTAATTTGGAAGTAATTGAATGTTTGGAAGCCTGTGCACTGCTGTGTAGCTGTCCCCACGCCCCCTCTGAAGGGACACTGCAGTCAGTTTTCATATTCTTGCCATATCTGTGCAAAGAGCATGCAAGGGGTTTGCTGCAATGCTAGTTCAGCGTTACCAAGACACAGCCACGTGTCAGTGAGGAGTTCTGGCACTCTTCATGGTACTTCATAGCCTAAACTTTGACCATGGACTGTTTGTTTCATCCCCTGCTGGGGATATCCTAACTTAGCCTCTGTAGGTAGAACTAGGAACAGATATTGCTTAACATGGTAGCTCATTAGGGAGTCTTTGTGTCATGGAACTGTGAAAACGAGTTCATTCTCTTCCAGTACCTTATCGTGGCTTCCTGCATGCATGTGATGGACTTCTTAAGAACAAATGGGGTGACCTGGTGGTGATGCTTGTTAGTAGTCTTAGTCTTTACCGCAAAACCCTGCAGTGTTTTTGCAGAAGACAGTGGTCAGCTTAGCTGTGACTGTTTTAAAACAATCTAATGTCATGAGAGCTAATAGCAAAGGTATGTGTATTTTTTGTTTTAGGAAGACAATACTGGAGCTGAACATAAATACTTGACATTTCAGCTTAAAACCTAGCATCTTTAATTCTAGGAATAGGAACCAGAAGTGCAAGCCTTTGCTAACCTTAAGCCCCAGTTGCACACACACACACCCACACCCCCCAACAGGCTTGGCTTAGATCTTGGCAAGACTAACTAAAAATTAACATAGGAGAACACTGACTACATTTGCTCAAGTGCTTTTTTGATACCTGCAGCCTTAGATTACAAATCGATGTAACGAAAAAACATTTATTCCAAATGAGTGGATCATACGGTAGCAGCACTCCAGTTTGAAATTGCACTGGCCGGGTGACTTTGCAGGGAATGGAAAGAGGTAGGAAAGGATAAAGCAAGCGTAGCAAGTAATGATTTTTGGAAAGGGGATTTGTAAAAGTAACTAGACTTCTAGGTTCTTCCTGAAATAGGCAGGATTTATTACTGGAACACTTAGGCTAATATTCAGTATATATGGGATGTTTTTCAATGTATATTCGTATTTCTTGAGGTCATGAAAACTGTTTCATAACCCCTTTGTTTTTGTGAGCAAAGTTCTTTGCATAGCAGTGAAAAGGGTATACCTGTTAATCTATTGTGTAAAAAAAACAAAAAAAACCCCGAACAAACAAAAAAAATCAACTCAAGTTGTCACTATATACCGTGTAGTAACTTTATCACATGTTATGTCAAGTGTGAGCAACTTCTGGCCTGAAGCTTTTGCAATGGAATTTGTACATTTCTATGCATCATTTGAGTTAAATTGCTGAGAAGTTCGTTTTGACTTGTGCTTTGAGATTGACATACTGCATTTGTTTACAATATGAAATATAAGCAATCACATCTTTAAAGTATAGATTATCACCTGCTGCTGTATTTTCTTTAGATGAAACAAATATTGCTGTATGATAGTGAGAAGCTATAAATACAGGATTTGATATTTTTTTGAAAATGCTGTCACTTTTGTATAAGATTAGACATTAAACGTATTTTCAAGACTGTTGTGTTTACTGTTTTTCAATTACTGCTTTTGACATGCTTGTGTAGACTTTTGCCTTGAATAGTAAAAATAGGACATCTTTGATTTGCAAAGACTGAATATAAAATCAGAATTACTTGACTTCTGTGTTTTTCCTCTTCCTTTTGTGATTATTTTTTTTCAGCCTGTGCATAAGGCGTATTAAATGTGGATGTGGCCATTGCTGTATTGTAGCCTGTCAGCCTCGGGTATCACCATAAATTGCCTTGTTAATTAAGAGAAAAAATATCTGATCTTGCTTGTTCTAGAGGAGGAATGTGAGGAATATTTTACCTGTGAAGAATATGGTGTGAGTTTTTCCTGGCTCTGAACAATTCCTAGGCTAAATTGACACATGTGGATGTGGTAAGTGATCTGCAAACCAATGTTTTTATACGTTTATCAGGAGTTTTATGGGATAGGCTGGATAACTCAGAAACTCCAGGGCTTGGCAGCAGTGTGAACTACAAAGTTTGGGCATCACTACATTTATATTTTTCCTTGATAGTGGCTTTCGGAAGGGTTCACACTGAGCTGGCCAGTGCTGCTGCTACCTTTGTCCACACCTTCACCCTTTCAGGAAGGTAAAAACGGCAGCAGCAAGCAGTAATGAGTGGAAACAAAAATAATTATCCACTTTAAGGCTTAGAAAACAAGCTCGTCTTAGACCATGCAGTGTGTGTAATCCTTATATCTGTTAATAAAGCATTGTTCTGTCTTCACAGAGCTCAGCTGTGGGGTTGTCTCCTCCTCTGGATTTCTCAAATGAATTTTCTTGCATTGGTAGATGGGGGTATGCTGACCCAGTTTTGTTAATGACTGATTAAAAAACTTTAATCAAATTGAGGGCGGTGGATTTGACCAGTGATAATCTACATAATTCTTAGGTGAGTAGCTAGTTTTGAAAAACTATTCCAGGGGTCTTGCAAAGTGGTAAGTGGGTGTGTGGTTAGATCCATGATATGGGATGTGATAGTTCTGCCCTGCTGTTGTCAAGGCAAACACCTAAACTCTCTCCAGGCAAGTTTAGGCACATTTCTGTGTCCAGGCATTGATTCCCTGACCAGCCTCCATGCTCTCTGAAGGGGTGGGGTGGTGATAGGATCGTGGTCTTTAGCCTCTGTGTAACAAGAGCCCTTAGGCATCTAAAGACATAACTCTGCATACATATTTTTCTTGAGCAGCTTTCCTATTTCTGAAGTTAAGCACAAGATGCTATTTATTAGAAAGCAGTTCTGTACACTTCAAACAGCCATTATCCACCAGACACAGAGATTAGTGTGTTAAGTGCCATCTGGCAAATCAAGAAATGCAAGTTTCTACTTCAGTATAAGCTTCGAAGCCACTAGTACGCACCGCAAGAGAAACGGCGGCTGCATTACACAACGTCGTGGGCTTTCCCCTGAGACATCTGGAGAAAGACCTCGAGTGGATAGAGGGGTGGATAGAGGCATTTGTGACGGCAGGAGGTGTGAGCTCTGCGCTGGCAGGCTGGGCTCTGCCTGTGACTCACCCAAAGCTGGGTGCAGGGGCTGGGCTTGCTGTGCTCAAAGTCCTGGTCTGGTGAGGGACGTGGGCTAGATAGACATGGCTGTGGCAAACTTCACAAAATCAACTAGGTTGGAAAGGACCTTAAAGATCATCTAGTCCAACTGTTAACCTAGCACTCACTGACAGTTCCCAACACCCCCAGATCCCTCAGCGCTGGCTCAGCCCGACTCTTCAACCCCTCCAGGGATCCCGGGGACTCCCCCCTGCCCTGGGCAGCCCATTCCAACGCCCAACAGCCCCTTCTGCACACAAATCCTTCCTCAGAGCCAGCCTGACCCTGCCCTGGGTAGCTTGAGGCCATTCCCTCAGGGCCTGGCGCTGGCTCCTTGGCTCCAGAGACTCATCCCCCCTCTGCCCCCTCCTGGCAGGGTGTTGCAGAGGGCCAGGAGGTCTCCCCTCAGCCTCCTCTGGACTAAAAAACTTCATCTCGTGTTGGCCCCATTTTCCCAAATTCAAGGTAACTGTGGTGGGAGAATCAACTCTTAACTTCTCTGCTTTCACAATTCAGCAGAATTTGGGGTAACTCAATCTAAAAACATGCATGCATGCACACACCCATTAAGCTGATAACAGCAAGGTTTGGTGTTTTTTTTGGTCACTCTTGGCAGAATCTGGTATGTGGGAAATTGAATGTTAAAAGCTGTGTGCACCGAGGCACTGTTGGAAGTGAGTACTTCTGTTTCTAAGATCTGCTGGTTGTCTTAAGTTGACCCATTTGATGACAGTGAAGATGGAAGAATGGGGACTTTGTATCCCCTGTTCAGCAGCTGAGTTGTGGTGAAATTAAGTTACAAGTTACACCTAGATAAGTAAAAAGCACAGTGCAGTGCTACAAGCACTTCAGTTCTGTGGTGTCACTTTCCAAAGGGTACCCTCCCTGTTAAATGAGAGATGGGAGAGATAAAATGGCAATACTTGTGCTTCTGGCCTCTTTCCAGTTTCCACAGGGAAGATCTGTGCTCAGGAGTCACTTGGCACCCCTGTGGTTTAATTTCAGGTCCTAGTTCTGTTGTCTGCACAAGATCTTACCTGCTCTTGCAGATTCATGGGATCAAGGGAGGGAATTCATGCAGCACTTAACCCTTAAACTCTCGCATCAAGCTGTACCATCAATCAGCACATTTCTTTTGCTTGGCAGTAATGATGGTTTAACATACATCTCCTTATCTTTTTCTCCTCCACCGCCACCCCAGTTATCTTTAAACTTAGATAACTTCTCTGATGTAACCCCACATACATCCTACAAAGTGTTCTGCTGATGGGGCAGAGCAAAAAGCTGGTGTAAAGGGCTGAGGCCTTGGTGAGGAGACACTCAATGAGGCACCTGGCAGCGGGAGGAAGCTCACCCAGGAGAGGAGCTGGAGCGCACGTCCACTGTAAGCATTTAATTTCAGGCCCTGCAGAGGAAAACTCCTTTCTCTGAGCTAGAGAGGGGTCCTAGGGAGGGTGAGCTATTTAAATTATCTTGGGGAGAGGTTGGGTGGAAGTCAGGTACCTTGCTCTGCTGTATCCTGTTACTGTTTCTGAGTGATGTTTAGGCTGGAGCTGGCATCCTCGGTGTGAAATGGGGGGGAATTAGTTATAATTTAAAGAGGAAAACTTCCTGCCAGTGGTGGAGACCATGTTCTAAAGCAAACACCAGCTCATATTA